GTGTGTGAATGGGTGGATGACTGAAAGTGTAAAGCACTTTGGGGTCCTTAGGGACTAGTAAAGCGCTATACAAAGGTATAGTGTGTCTTTTAAGACACACTAGAAACTCAGAAAACCAGTACTCAAACACAAAGTTCTTAATTCAGTTTTGAATTACAAAATGTCTTTGCAGCACAAGTGGTTAGCCAGATACATTTACAGTGACACAGAAACACTGAAAGTAACATAAATGAAATAGCTAGGCCTCGTTCTATTTTGTAATTTAACCTAGCTGAAATAAAGCTATTGTTGAGTTTTCTTTGTGTTTTGGCAGTGTGAGCTCTCAAACTTGGCTGCAGTTGGTTAATGAGCCAATAGGCTTGGTATGTGCTGATGAGCACTGTGGGTGGAAAGAAAGAAGGGAGAGCAGGGCAGTAAAAATAAATTTGGCTTTGCACTGAAGTGCTTTTAGACACGGTTTTAGGTAGTAGGCTATTGTATGGTAAGGCTTTCTGCAGTTTGTCAAAAATAACTTCCCCCCAACTATGTCATAAACATCTGTCATACGCTTTATTTATGTGTTTTAAAATGCACTCTGGTCTGCAAACAGGAAGACGGATGCCTTTCAGAATGCATGACTTTCTTGTATTTCTTTTATATTTATGGCTACTTCACAGGTTACATCTTGAGCTTGGTGCTTCTGACTCTGCCTCGTCAGCACCTGGTTAAACTTTACCTGTATGTTCTTACGGCCCTGCTGCTGTTTGCTGGTCACCAAGTGTCAAGGTAAACATTCACGGAAACTTAAATCTACCAGAATAGCTAACAAGATGCCACTACTCCTCTTTTAAATACTGATGTGTGTATGTATGACAGTTTTCCTCTTGTTAATTCATGTGAAGGACTGGACATTGTGAGAATTTCCTCTGTATTGATTGTTTTAGTTTTTCTCTGTCAGGGATTATGTTCGCAGTGAACTGGATTCTGGTTATGAAGGCCCTGTCTACCTGGAACCTCTCTCCATGAACAGATTCACCACTGCACTCATAGGTATAATTGTTCAAGATTCATATTATTGAAGAATGTGAATGATGAGGTACCAATGTATTGCACATAGATACTAGTGGTGCAACGGATCAAAAATCTCACGGCTTTAAGTCATGGATCGGATCAATTTTCGGATCAGCAAAAAAGAAAAAAGACAAAAATGTAACATTTACTTATTGAAGTATTTTTTTGCCTGTTGAAAACATTCAACTCAAGACTCATCCCATGCAATTATTAAAAAAAAAAAAAATTATGGTACAATATAGGGCAGTACAGTCTTTGTATCTACCACTCAATTCAATTCAATTCAATTTTATTTATAAAGCGCACAACAGTCGCCTCAAGGTGCTTTATATTCTAAGTTAGACCCTACAATAATACATAACGCTCATTATATCGCACTCTGCTGTGATATAATGAGCTGTCACGGTCACGTAGCTTTCCGTTGCCCTGAAGGTCCACCCATTTGTAGTAGTTAGGGCAACAGAAGATGCCTGGGACTGTTCAGCCATAACTTAAATCTTTTCCTGCTCATACATGCTTGGAATGATCTTGCCACTAAAGTGGACGCGAACGGGATATCATAGCGTGGCTCAAGCACGTTCATCATAGTTTAAACCCCTTGTTTTGCACAACGGAATACGGCCTCCCATCTGCAGCTAAACACCCCAATAGCTTTTATAATAGCTTTTCGGACTGGGCAGCAAAGGGCTGCTTAAATACCGCAAACTCCTCTGCTCCTCCACGTGGAC